GCATATGAGGGAATAACAATTCAAGAGAATAAAAATATACTACAGACACGTGTCTCATATAATAGGATCCAGGCAGTGATGGCAATTTACCATTGTCCTAGCAGTCAAATCTTCCCTGTATTTCTGACACATGTTAGAGGCAAAATCTATTCTAGGTAGAGAAGTAATAAGGAACAGGGGCCAGAAGGATCTTTACTGCCAGCCAGACTGGAATTCTGCAGGCCCGGGGGAGCAGTCTCAAAGACAGTCATGAATCTTTAACCAGGAACAGCATTTGCTACAAGATAATTATCATGCAGGCAGCAAAAGCTGCAGAACACATGTCATTTCTGAACTGTTTCAAATAACCTATCCTGTTCTCCTAGTTACAACCTTCCAGTATTCAGTAAGCAACACAACTAACATTTGTTCTTGGTGACAGTGCAACAGGTTGCTATACAGAAAGGTTCTGGTCTGCTGTGCCAATGGGGAAAGGAAAAGCCATAGGCACTTGCACCAGTGCTTCAACTGGGTGTGTGGAGGGGAAAGAAAAAGGGAAATCAGCCCAGACTCTGTAAGCCATAGTCTAACGTGATGGCAACATACTGCTGACAAGCTCTTGCCATGAAGGCAGCAGCTCTCACGTTTCAAGAATATGCGGAGTTCTTGCAGGAAGCATGTTGCAGGCAACTGCACAAGCTACTGCCAGTCAATTGCTCAGTGATTTTTTGCTTCTCTGTAAAGCAGTGAGTGTACGTTCTGCATGCAGCCATTCATTGAAAAAGTGCTAGTACTAAGCTGTAGAAATATCTTGAAGTGGTAAGGTAGGTGGTCCTCCCATCCCACTGCATGAAACGCTGTACAGGAATTAATGAAATGGCTACCATTATGATATGCATTTGTATAAGATCAAACACATGAGACAGTTTTTAACTCACCTGGAGCGCTTAGTTTTCCTAGCTTTTGTATTTTTAAAACTAGTAATCACCTTAACCAAACCATACAAATTGTCTCATATATAATGGAGTGGGTACCAAGTTATAGAAGAGACTGTTTTCCAGGCTTAGAAAACTCTCTAGCTGATGACAGGAACAGTATGTTTATAAAAGGGATCCACGCCCATAGTGATCTCAACTCCAGAAATGCTGCATTTTCTTATTACCTTTTCCAACCACACAAAGCAAGGATATGTAGCAGAACATCTGCAGCCTCCACACTTCACAGATGTTCTCCTACACCTGGCATAACTACTCCATTGTTTTCTAAAACAGTGAGAAAAAAAAAAAAAAGAAAGCAGAACTGTTCTGTGCATTCCAGTTAGCAGCTGCACCCCATCTTCTTTCTCCTTAACACTTGCTCTCTTAAGGACACATTTTGCCCTCTTAAGGATATATCTTCAATGACCACTTTGAAGCAGTCACTTTGTCTCCCTCTCGTATGGCCCCGTATTCATGTGCCTGCACCTTAGCCACAGATTCAGTATTTAGTAGCAGGTTCTCTGGGCAATGAGTGCTACAAAATGACAATATATAAAACACAAATGCCTCCTTCCCTGAAATGCAGCATGAATAGTTTTGTCAGGTCTGCATCACTGGCTGGCAATGTCTTTCAGCTTTTTCAAACCCTGCTTTTCTAAAGCATATGTACTTCATGTGCTGCTTTGACTGGACATGCTCAGATTTCCCAGCTGTGTCCATGTTTTGAGGTCAGCTACTTCAACAGAGAAATTTTTTCCTTTCCAGTGGGAAGAAGAGTACAAAGAATAGAGTCAGGGATATAACAATTCCCCATTGTAAGAGGCACCGACACAGCCAGTACTAACTGGCACCCATCTCCATAGAAATGCCATGCACTGTAAGGATAAAGAAAATGAGTTATTATCCTTTAGCCACAGGGGAAGCATCCCCAGGCACAAGGAACAATGTGAGCGAGTCCGCATTGCTGCTTCTGCTGTTCCTGTGCTATGGCTACAGCAGTGTTTCTCAACATTCATCCCTTGTATCCCTTCCCTCCAAGATACAGTCCGTACATTATCCCTTACCCTGAGTTTGCAAAGCAACTGGTGACACATGAGGTGGCTCAGTCTAGCAGCCATGTGCCCCTTCTGTCCTGCTATCTGAGTCTTCCACCTCTGCCACCAACGAAAAAGTTTTCTTAGAAGAGTTTCATCCCCAGCGCTGTTGCAAATCTTCCTGTAGGTATAATCCCACCCAGGTTTCTACAGACATTCCCTTGGACAGGTTCTGCTGTCTCCCAGAGGAACATGCTTTAAGCACTGCCAGGCTAAATAGCTGAGATTCTTCATACCACCAGTAAGAAACCCATGACAATATATAAAATATTTAAACCCCCAAACTTTACAATATTATTAAATAGAGACAATTACATCTTTCACTTGCACTTTCCCTTCCTCAATCAATACAGGGGCAACCCTCAAACCTAAAGGTACTCAGTGTCATCCAGCAGACAGCTGTGATTACAGAGACTCCCATGAAAGAAAATGAGGGCCAGGGAAACGGTTACCCAGCTTCTGATATCCTTCAGGGTGAACTACTGCAGAATTGCCCCTTAGTAGAAAACCAATTACTTTCACTGGGATCCTCCCCAAGTAATGGTGGTTGTCAGTTCTCCAGATTTTCAAGATAACAGCTATTTGTACAGCTATTCCCCCACGTCTCCTGACAGGTTAGCCACAAGGCACACTGCTGTAATTTCAAACTGAAGTTTCTCGAGGCAGAATTTTCCATGACCCTTTTTCATCTGTACTCAGCAAATCACTTGAGAATCAATAGTGACCACAGTGCAGTCTCTTATCTGGCAAATCAACCTCCAAATTCAGCAGTGACGGGATAAGTCAAAGGTACAAATAAACCTGCACAGCTTAGCATGTGCTCTGTGATACTGGCGGGGGGAGCAGCCGAGTCAGTGAATGGCTCCCCCCAGAGTCACAGTCTCCAGTCACATCAGGACTGTATTATTCATTGTCGCTGAAAAGGAATGAGAGCAGACCACTGAGTAGTGCTAAAATAATTAAAATAGTGACATTGCCGGATCAATTTCCTTTGTTCCTCAGTCCTGTAGCTACAGGCTTATCATTTTCCTGTGCCTTGCTACAGTGTAAACTGGGGTAGGCTGTGGCAGTGATTAGAGCAGCCAAGGAGCTAAAGATTAAGCAGGTGGGACCCTTTTCCTTGAGCCAATTCTGACCATACAATATATGGGAGACAATTTTACTGAACAAGACAGAAAACTAAGGTCCTAAATCATCTGGCCAAGAGCCAGTTATGGGATAAGTAGCTGCAGTCCACAGAGAAGTCTGGTCTAAATCTGGGAGAGCTATGCAGGGTGACGTGAACCAAAAAAGAAGTAACTGGATGTACGCTTTCCTTGATTCAAAGTACAAAAAGAATAATTTACAGGCAAAAAAAAGAGCACGAGGTGGCATAAGGAGGAAGGCACTGGCTACAAGAAATGAAATGAAGGCAGTTCACCCTCCAGTTTATGTTACACGTGCTCTCTTCTTTAAAAAGTTCTTTCTGTTACATTCTCCCCTTCAGACTTTTGGCACTGAGACGAGCGTAATCAGCCCCAGGTCTGTAACTTTCTTACAAGCCACCTTCCCCTCCCCTCTTAGCATATAATTTCAGATGGTTCTTACTTCATCACTAAGTTTGGTTCTCAGGCAATAAAAGTGCAGCAGCATGTTACAATTAGCAGTGGAGTTCATATGCAACTGTACCTGCCTCTAAACCCACAGGAATATAAAGCTAGGCATTGCCAGGAGGGGCTGAAACCACATGCAGCCAAACAGTTAAAATGGGAGGAGATAAAAGGAAACAAGACTTGCTTTTTGGCATCAGAAGCAAGATGTAATGATGGCAAGTTCACAGAGTACTTTGCACAATGTGGCAGTGAGAACAAAGTCAGAAGTTGGGGGAAGATGGGATGAAATAGGAAATATTCAGGCCTCAGGGAAATCAGAGTGTGTGTGGGGTCAAATACCTGGTAGGTGTCAATAAATTGGGAGGTTTAGGCAACAAAAGATGAGTGGTCCGAGTCAAGGCATTGAGAGGGAACAAATCGTGAAATGGAGCCTTCAACAGCCTAAGACTGTTTTCATAGCCCTGGTTCACTTATTGTCTATTACCTCCAATCTCTTACAGCAGTCTATTTTGCATCATCCCACCAACAGAAGTGAAGTCTTTGGGGTGAGACCAAAACTTACTGCATCTATGCCACTGTATTCAATTACAGTGAATGTTAAGTCCCAAATAAACACAATGGAAATTTCTGCTTAAAAGCAGACACCATGATGAAACCGTTAATTCCTTACGTTGCCTTGTTATCATGTTATCTAAGAGTATTAAATGGCTTGAGCAGGCTTCTTGTCTGGACATGGACTGCATTTTGCTGGCTTGGCCTGGGCTAAGGGCTAACATTCATCTGTAGGTATCCAACTGAGTAGAAATGCTCAAATGCTCAAAGCTTTCTATCCCAACCAAACTGTCTGCACATAACAGAGAGTCAGTATATTTGTTTACAATTAGCGTTTAACAAATACAAAATGTAAAATCAGACAACCTTGTGGCCCTTACCCAGTTCCCATTCAAATTAGCGAGACCTTTGTCATTGTCTTATCTGGGAGAAGAACTGGATCACTGACAGAACAGAGCTGGAGCCAGACCTGTCCTGCACGTAGGCTTATTTAAGCAACTCCAGTTTCTTAAGAAAGCAGCTTTACATGTATATTGTTGTCCCTCGCGATGAGGTCAAAGTTATATGATCTGCCCAGTGAAGTCTGAATTGGAGATGTAAAGTGAGAAGGAGAAAGTGCTCTCTGGTTTCAGAGGGAGTGACAACACTTTCATAAAACCTTGTAATCATTGACTTAGTGTTTGCTGTTGCAGCTGTAGATTTAAAGGTGATGGTCAGCCTGCAATAAAAAGGGGACACAAGTTTATAGAGACACGGCTCCATTACAAAAGCCTGCTATTTCATGCAGGTCAGCCCCTCCCTACTGACCCACCATTCTGATCTGCTGTGCTGGTTTTCTAAGCAGAATGGTTTTACTTGTTTCAACGCTCCTTGGCATACAGATGCTTTGCTCCTGGGCTGCCTCTCCTCCTGCCAGCGAAACACCGACTGCTTTGCTTTCCCCAACCTGTGATGACACTGCAGTAGAAGAGGCTGCAGATCTGGCTCTTCGCCAGATCAATACTCACCGAAAAGAGGGCTACGTACTCAGTCTCTACCGGATTTTCAGTGTCCGAGAACATCCTCAGGTAAGTTACCTGCTTGTTCTGTATCTGTTTCTCCCATGAAGAGCCCCGTGTCAATCACTTAGTCCTTAGCAGTATCTATTTGAACTAAGAAATATTTAAAAAGGCAAATGTGAAGTTTCATTCACAGGACTCCAGAGGCCATGTCAACTTTACGCACAGATGACTAGAAACAATTTCATCACCACTGTGGGCAATTAGAGAGCAAATCTCAGTCACGATTCTCTGCTGCCTGCCCCTGGAATAGCTCCAGGCATCAGTTCAGATTTGGTATGAAACACTACTACGCTGATTTAATTTCTTTTTACACCTTCCTCCCACCGCCTTGAGCAGTTGGAGCGCAAAGGCTATTAAGTCGTCGTGCATTTTGCACAAAAGATGTAAGCACTAACAGGTGTAAACACACCCAGCTTGGGACCAGGGAATTCCTTCACAGACCTCTAAATGATGACTCATTCTCCAGAAGAAATCCGAAACCAGTTCAAGTGCAAAAATTACACTGGAAATATCTATAGAATATTGCTCTCATATCCTTAAGTGTCTTATTTCTCTGTGTTTGCTTAATTTATTACTATTTTGTGTTACAATAGCTGAATCTACTGGCAGTAGCCAGGGACAACCTGAAATGAGTGCACAAGGCCCACAACACATAAGGCATTATGGCAGCATGCTACTAACATTCCCTGCCAAGCTTGCTCACCTCCCATAATCTTACCTGAAACGCTGATTTCTGAGCCCTTAAAGAAAACCAGGCTTATTGCCAGATGTTTAAAGATCTGTGCTGGCAAGGATGTGACACTACTTCCTGCTGCTGTCACAAGGACATAGTTTCTGCAGACACGCTGTGGCCTCCAGCAACCTGAGATCTCACATCTAAAGACACACAGTTCGCTGTGCTTTGCACTGTGTTTTCTATACTGCTTCGCCCAGGTGACAGAATGTGCCTACTGCGCAACTGGATCAGGTCTCTTGAGAATTTTTTCCACATGGGATGCCTCTGAGCTGGCCCAGAACCTGCATCAGCAGTCACGGAGCTAGGTACTTAGCCCCCCACCCTGAGGCTATTTCCAAAAAATTAGAGCACCCCTATGACCACCCTGCAGTGCAGCGTGGTGGTGCAGACCTGCTGTGAACCACTTTATTCATCATCACTTCTCCCTTCACTTGTGCCAGGTATAGCTCAGCACAGAAGAATTTTGGTCCTCGTTTGTGATTTGGTCTGTTACTTAACTCCCTAGAGACTTAATTTATTGCCTTAAGGGAATACTTTGCTTTTTGTTCCTTTGGGGGTTTAATTTACTTTTATTCTTATATTTTGCATCTAATATGCTTATCCTGTAAATAAGGTGTTTCAAGACACTGCAATAACAAAGTAGGCAATCTAAGCCCTTTGTCACGTCTTTGCTACTGCTGGGACTGAGTACATAAGAAGCTGTCAGCTATGCCAGGGACGTTCATGGACAGTAACAACCTTATGCAACCTTCTATTTCCCTCAAAAAAATAAAGACTTTTTTTTTTTTTTTTTTTTAATCAGTCAGTGGTCCTTCCTCCCATTTTTTTTAACCAATACTCAGGATAAAAACATTTCGAAAGTTACTTCAAATTCAAATCTGCCCTTAAGCAACGTGTGGTTCAGTTTTGCTCTAATTGAAACTAATGAGCCATCTGCTGTTAACTTATATGCAAGTAGGACACAGACTTTCTTTTCATACAACATACGATTAACTTCACTGACAGGCACTTAACCAAAATCATAAAACATGCCAAAATATTTCATTTCTTTCCCTTGCACCAGGTCACCCTGCCACAAAGACGATGCTGCGCTGCTGCGGCATCTCTTCTGGTTCCCAGGCTCCCCAGCAAGCACTGCAGCGGCAATCCTAGCATCAGCAGCGCTGAGGAACACATCTTTTTGGCAATGCAGAAAAGATAGAAGTTTTTATTCAATACTAAGCAGTTATCAAAAGACCTTTGCATAACGGTCTTTTAATGAAAATTAAAATAAGGATAATGAAACCTTCAGAGATCTGCTGAGCTCTGAACAAACCCCAAATTATCCTTTCCCCAGTGGAGGATGATACATACAGAAGCAGGTAGACAAAAAGATGTGTAGATTTTATAATAACCTCATCTGTGTATTAGAGCTGATATTATACAAGAGAGCTACAGGCAACAGAAAATACAGTTTGATCCATCCTGGTTGCATTTAGCATTTCCAAGATCACCAAGCTTTACAATCAGTCTTCATGATTCAGCTGAGTAAACCCATCTAACATCAAACACGTTTGATCATAAGAACACTTCTTTAATGAGATATGTGTGCGCTTTTGCCTCAAGAACACCTGAACAACCAACCTGAAAGCTCAAGTCGCCAGTCCCAACTTTGGGACTCCTTAAAGATACACATTTTTCCTGACTATTACTACTTCATGCAGGATAGTCTTAGTGATTTTTTTTTTTCTGATAGAGGATATATTCAAAGTTACAAGCTTGTAATAAATGCTGCACTACTCAAAAAAACACATTTTCAGTAAATGGCAATTACTCCTTGACCAGTCTTACTTTCTGTTTACTGATTTAACCTATATTAACACTCATATTAAGGAGACATATCACCATGGTATTTAGGTACTTGCATGTAAACAGAAAATTACAATTAGTTCCTTCTGCAGAAGGATCTATGCAGCCAGGCGTGGGGACACTGCCATGCCACTGTGCACAGTGCTGCTGCACTTCATCTTCACCTTTTGTCAAAACAGTTTTTGATCTTTTCATGACCTTCAAAACGACACTTACACTTAAACCTCAGGATTAGTGTAGGCAAACCCTGAGAGCTCAGTGCAAGGCGTCACCAGATTACTTCATAGTACACTTAGGGAAAAACGAGGATATGAACATGGGAAAAACGAGGATATGAACATACAAAAAACTGTATAAAACATGGTAAGCTGCATATGTAGGAATATAACCTAGAGACAAAGCTAACAAAACAATTTACTCATTGTTTATTTTCTATTTAGTTTGCTCTTTGGTATTTAAATGGTTTAATATTACATTCACAAGTATATATGGTAGAGCTCACATAAAATCACCATCCCAGCCTCCCTCCAGAGATCTCTACGCTGTGTGACAAGAATAGTTTGTATCACTTGGTCTCCTCAGAACTCAAGAACAGATGTGTTTTTCTAAGCAGTATAAAGCCAAAAAAGCTAGCAGTACTCCAGCCTTTGGATGCCCTATTGACTGGTCTTCAGTCACTGTTAGACAGAAATCAATACTGAAGGCGAAATTGTCCCCAGACTTCTACAAGACTCTTGCCCCATAAAGCATTTTCTCCATAAACCAGTGAAATCAACTAGGAATGAATGAATACTGCTCTCACTCAGCTTTGTTTTTTCTCCCTCTTCAGCAAAGACATAACCTCAGTCCAAACACGCAGCTAACACATCTAAGTTCTTTAGGATGTATAAATGACAGCTGCTCTCTTTCCAGCTTTCCCCTACATAAAATAAAATACGATCCATGATAAATATCCTGGAAAGGTGCTTACTCATATCTACAGTAGAAGCAGAACCAGCAGCTGTATTATGCAGCATCTCATCTTTCTGTACCACATGATGTGAACACTAGATACACAGAGTTGTACTTTAATCTTTCCTTGTCCCTCTCGCATGGAAATTTGTTTGCCCAAAAGCTGAGCCATAACTGCTTTGTGCACCTGTGCTGTAGTGAACTAAATAAAGGCTTCTGGACTTAAGCACAGGCTCAGAGCTCAAGCACTGGACGGAAGCTTTAAGTGAGTCAGAGACATCGATGTAGATATGCAAGGTCTCTCATAGCACCTTCTGATATCTGAGAGAATATTTAAGTTGTCCGCATCAACGCAGTCTTTGCCTCTTTACAGCAAGTGCAAAGCATCCATATTTTAGAAGAGACTACTTTAAGAAATAAGATATTTCTGTTTCTAATGCCTACTGGGAATGTTCCATGTTAGCAGTTTTTTGTTATTTGTAGGTTTTATCGTCTCGTTCTTATTGAAAGCAAAATAACCTGCCTTTCAAATCTAATCATAAAATGCAGTTGATGATGAAAACATCACCATGTTTAGTCCTTGTTCTTGGTTTCTGGTTGGTACCAGAATTAGAAGGATAAAACTGACTCTAAAAGGCTGGTTTTTAACTAAAGCTGGCTAGATGCATGACCAAGCCTGTTCTAACAGGGCCTGTATCTCACCTGAGTTGCCACCGTTGAGAATTTGTCCCACACAATGTTCAGCTTTCAGGATATCTGTGTGTCCCATCTGTGTGTTTTGTGTTTCTCCATCTCTCCCTTTTACGTGTCCCTACTTTGTTCTATACAAAACTGGGGTATGAACCTTTCTTTTTTTTTTGTTTTCAGGAGATCACTGGTTCTGTCTTCTATCTCATCTTGGATGTAGTAGATACTGAATGCCATGTACTCAGCAGAAAGTTATGGAAGAACTGTACTGCCAGATTTGCTCATACTACTGTAAGGATTTAATTTTCTTATTTAATCTCAGGTATGATGAGTTACTCAAGTACTACTGATGACAGCAAAATCCCTACACATGGATTTTTAGTAGGCAGCAGAGCTTGGAAGAAAGCAAACCCCATTTTTTAAGGTCCACAGTTTTCCTCTGTATTTTCTAATCAGTTTATAGACTGGTAAGATTTATTTTAAAAAATTAAAATTAAAAGAAAGGTTTTGACCAGAGCTAATAAGCAGACATAACTAAATAGCCATGCTAGGACACTATTTAGAATAAATGGTTTACTTTTTATAGCAATCCTGTAAGATTTTATTTTTAAGACAGTCTGTCAAGAAGGGAGTAAAAGAAACTCACTTTTATATAACATGAGATTTTTGCTTTAGTTTAATTCCACTTTTATTCTGACAACTTTGCAAAAATTGCACTGAAAGAAGAGAAAAAAAGAAAGCTCAGCAAGATGAGCTGTGAAGACAGAAAGACAGAAAGTGACCCAAGACTGTTGCTACAGGTGACCAAAACTATTCCGAACGAGTGAAAAAAAAACTTACAAAATGAAAAATGATGAGAAAGAAGCTTCAGGTGAATTGTCCTGGGCTGACTCTTAGGTCAATCAGTTTTCATTTTTAAATGAAAAAATAAAAAGAATTCTGCTCACGTCTGCTTTC